CCTCCCTCTGCACACAAAACATGCCACATTTTACCACGTGGGAAATGTCTCCTGTAAATGCGGACATTTTTCAATAGCGCTCTAGTTAAGTACCACAGAGAGTAATAGTGGCCAATGCAAGTTAGGTGACTTTTAAAAAAAAGTCAAGTATTTCTTTTAGGAATTTGCAGAGACTGTTGCTAAAGAAAATTATGTATTTATTTAAAAAAAATGAACTGAAGTACAATTTTAGGAAATATTTGTTCATTACATTTACATACAAAGTTTAAAACTGGCTTATTTCAAAAGTGTTCCTTCACAAAGAGAAAATGTTAAGTTCACATGCACCTTACTGTTTTCTACATTCGCCACCATATTACACCTCATAACAATTTACAATAATAAAAAGGCTAACCTGTAAATTCTTTAGACATATTGACATTTAGTATGAACAGCTGCAATGTATAAGAAACCCTGATTAGTAATTTGATTTCACTGAGACAAATGTAGGCTCGTAAAATAATAAGGCACAGTTCTATGAACAGGGAACATGGTTTGTTCTTTCAGCAACACAGACTTCAACCAGGTAGCTAATTTATAAGGGTGTTATTTGGTGTAAAGTAAATGCACCCCGTTTAAATGCAGATAGAACAATGTTCTCCTATACAAGACTGTTCTGAGGAGCCAAGTGTTTTGCATGTTATGGTGGGAGTTGTAATTAGAAGCTATATTTAATAGGACATCAGGGGAGTTTTAGACCAGACTAGATGGGGGTTCTTCTAAGGGAAGTATGATTATATATAATCATACTATATGTGTATACACATATACACACACACATATGTATACATAAGCTTAATCTCTCTGCCTCCTTATTAAAAAGAGCAGCATGATAAAATCATTGAAAAGAGCAGGGGTATACCTTGTATATCAGAACTCAGAGCCCAATTTTCATAATTGCAAAGCACCCAAAATTCCTACGGAAGTTTGAGAGCTGTAGGTGCACAGCAGCTCAGACAGGGCAGGTCGAGGAAATCAGATTCACAGATCGGTCTATTAAAAAAAAAAAGTTTTGGGTACACAGCCTCTGTCTTTAATCTTGTTACATAGTGCATTAAAGTACTGCAAATATTTCCATATTATTTTGGCTCTTCACTTCCACTACAGCATTAAAGACTTTGTCAGGCAGGGGATTGGCATCTCTCGTTTTCGACACAGAGCTTTGGGTGCAGAATCAGCCTTTTGCTTGTACGGCTGGGATTAGTAAGACACTGCTGAGATCATCATGTATGTGCTTCACAACCAAAATAGCCATTACTAATGAGGGGGGGATGGTTGTGGTTTGTAGTGGTTGTCTTTTTAAAGGACCCAGGGTTTATTCAGAGGTAGTTTTCAGAGGATCACTGTAATGAAGCACCAGTAGTATTAGTTTACCATTAAAAAGATACTAGATTTTTTTTTTTTACCGCCGCCAAGTCCAAAGGGATCACAGTCAAAGTGAACTATACCAGATTTTGACTAACACACCCACAGTTCCACAAAAATTCTCTCAGAATGCAAACCCCTTTTAAAAATGCCTTCCAATTAGTTTAGATTCTTAAATTGTCACTAGATGAGACGTCTTTCTCAAACTAGGTAGGAAGAAAAAACAAAAATTCTAACAGTAACTGCAGCATGTGGAAAATGACAACTGTATGGAATGATCAGTATAAAAGTGAAAAACACTTTTTCAGTAATCAGTATTAGTAAGAGCAAACCTATGAAGGAACATAACATAACCTTGAGTACTAAATGCAGGTTGTGTTTAAATGTTTGCATCTGTAATGGAAGAGTAATACTCCACTGCCCACCTGACTTTTAAAATAGAACCACGTTTATCCTTGCATCTTGGATAGTCATATTATGTTTGCCGCAGTGTAAAAGTAAACAGTTGTATGTCACATGTGATGCTTGTGTCTTATTATTCAGTAATTTAAATTAAAAATATTGCTAAATTAAATTGCTACAATCCACACTTCTTAAAAGAGGATTAAAAACCACACAATAAACAGCCCGTGTTATTTACAATACAGAGTCTACATTATGTGTTGTAAAACATAATGAACATTATAAGGAAGTTTTAAAAATGAAGTTTGGACGAATCCATTAAAAATTCTTACAAATTTGATGTTATGGTTTTACTATAAACCTCAATAAATTACATTTGTTTTGTGTTAGAGTCACAGGTGAACATGATTTAAATTACAGTAGAACCTCACTAATGCCTGGGAGACCCACTGGGATCTTGCTGATTTGCAAAATAGAGAAAACAACAGAGGACAATGCATCAGTACCAACAAAAAGCTACTTTTTCCATTTTAAACACACTTAACATACTAGGTGATCTGTTTTTCCTTCTCTGCTACGTCTATACAGACAAAGGCCTTTATCCAACAAGGTACCTAAGCATGTTCCTGATTTTAAACATGTGAGTAGTCCTAATTAAATGGGACTACTCATGTGCTGAAAGTTAGGCATGTGATTAGGTACCTTGCTTAACTGGGGTCAAGGTGAACAAATGTTTCTGGTAAAAGTAGTGGTATTTTTTCTGCCATTGTTATATTTCCTGCTTTATAACACACATTTCAAATGACAGCACTGTATCTATACAAGAAGTGTAACATTAGAGGCCATCTAAACTGGTAGCTACGGTATTCTTGGTGAAGTGACACTAAAATAATCTTGTTTCATGCAGTACTTTAACAGATCAAAAACCTCTGGCATCAAGGACCGTGTTCATTGCTCTCTAGAGCAGACACTTGTTTTCTACTGTATGTATGGTGCCCTAATCCTTAAAGGAAGTTTATAGGTGCTATCATAATATAAATAGCAATAATGATAATTTGTCCTCATATACGTAATATTCTCTTTTTCATTTGTCTTGAATATTCTTCCATGGCTCCTGTGGTGTTTCTCCAAAGTTTTCATTCACATTGTGCAAATAATTACTCTTGCTTCTGAAGATGTTCCATATGTATTCAATTCAGCTAAAACCATAGGCATCTTATAGCACTTATTAAAGTGTGCTTGCTTGACTTTCCATTCAAATAAAAAATTACTGTAGCCAGCCATTTGAGGAAGATTGCTATAAAGTGCCACATGACCATATAAGGACCACATGTAGTGGCATTTGAGACATATTAACCAATGTATGGATAAATGCTAAGCTGCATTACTTTCAGTGAATGTGATTATTAAGCTTATTGAAGAAAAATTACAACAAAATTTAAAAGGCCATGTACTGCAGAACCCTTAATATAGCCAACTTCCTGGGGGAAAGTTTGGAATTTAGAGATCAGAATAAATATATATCTAATTTGTGCTCTGTCTTCTTGAATTTTTACAATGGTATGCACCAAACAGTTTGAGGGCATTTGCCACCACCATTGAGCCTGATCCAAAGCCCCTTTTTGCCTAATTTTGGTCCTGACCCTGCGATATGCTGACAGACTTGCAGGACTGGGCCTTTTATCATCAAACATTTTACGGATAAATACAACTAACTGCAACAGAGCAAAAAATGCATTTCCGTCTTCTCAGAAAGAGAGTCTGGGATTTAGCTGTTTGGTCAATATATCTTGCAAATCACACCAATAATTCCTTTGATTAGGTAACCAAGAGTTTCCCTGTTTTAACATAAACCTGCTCTAGAGAAACTTGTTAAATTTAAAATGCTCTGTTTGTAAAAGCTCTAAAATTGTATTTAAAACTCTGTTCAGTCACTTGGCAAGGGATCAGATGTTTGCGTAACTGAATCCTCCTGGACCATGGGGCTCTGAGGAGTAATAATCTTGACAAGTTGTGCTGCTGTCTCTATTGGTCATAACAACGTTTCACATTCTTGCCAGGGGGAGAGAGAGAGAATCTATCTGAAGCACTCAAAACAGCATCTGAGGCATCTCATTCTTTCAGTCACCTGCTAGGACACTGCTAGAAACAAAGCAATTTTCCCCCCATACAAACTTGCATTTCAATACTTAAATTTATTACTCTTTACCAAATCTGACAATTTGTGTTTAAAAAGATCTCAGGCCACTCTTTCAGCGACTAACCTCTGGTTACAGTCCTGACCCTTAAAAATTCTACTTATCTAGCAAAAAGGAGTGACTATTTTTAAAATGATTTCAATGTTATTCAATGGAATTCACCCTGCAGGACAGAAAAAAAGACTTTAAGAGCCTAGTACTGTAAACATTTCTAATGGCAAGGGTGCTTTATTTTGGCTGGGCATCTTCATTTTGGGAGGGATGGGGAAAGAATCAGTTAGCAAAAGTGTACATTAAATTTAAATCAAAACAATGTTTTCAATAGCCCTGAGCAAATTATACTTCATGTTATGGTCCAGTTCTGCTCCTGTGCACGCCTGCAACTCCCATTGACTTCAGTGGGGGTAGCGAGTGCATATCCCAGTACAGAAGTTGATCCTAGCAGGTCTACACACAACTGATGTGTCCCTAACTACTTGTATGCTCCTTTGAAAATCCCAGCCTAAGAAATTTAGGAATGCAGCAACTTGGATCCCTATATGCCAGGAGCCCTCCAAAATGTGTAAGGGGAAAGCATTCTGTAGGGAAACCAAATCATTCAAATATAAATTTGAAATTGGCAAGTAACATTCTCACTTTTTAGATTAAAACACTTGTGCTCTTGACAGTAAATCTGTAAAATTTCATCCAAATTTAAGACGTTCACTTGGGGCTTAATTGAAAGCAGAGCTCGTTCTATCCAACAGAATACAATTTTAAATGCTTTTTTCTTGCTGTCTTGTGACAAAGCATTTGCTAACTGAAACTGTCCTGATAAGAAATGGTTTGATTCTTTTTTAAATAGTGCTATTAAACACAACTGTAAAAGCATGTAATCTCACTGACCAGAACAGATGTGTTGACCTATCAAGTGATGTAATATGCACCACGCTGCAACTGAAACAACTTGATAAAACAATTAGCCCTTGAAATGTTTATATTTTGATTCATTTTTTTTGTACAAGATTTAGTGTTTAATGAAAAGTAAATCCATTAAAAACCTCTGCATTTCACCACCTTACACGTTTCTAGCAGATAATTAAAATACAAGGTATGTATTCTGGGAATACATAATTTTCTATTAACTGACCAGTTTTGGTAGTACAGTGCATAGAGGTATACTGCCATTTGATTCAGATGTTAAATTAGCCCTCAGTTTGTTTGCCACTCCAACTACAGGAGGCAACTTAGAACCTATTCCTGGGAAGGAGCTTGTGTAGTTAGATATCCGTTTACCCATGCTTTTATCAGTACTGGGTGGTTTGGGCATTCGCTTACAAATCCAAGGGTGTCTTAAAGCTTGACTTGGAGTCATGCGTGCAGAAGGATCCCAGTTAAGACATTCTTTTAAGAATTCTATAAACAAGGGGTCATCACAGCCTTTCAACGCTGTCACCCAGTCTTTGTTGCCTGGAGCACCACGCATTTTACCCCTGCGTGATCTACTGCCATTGAGGATCACTTTCCCATCTGTATGTGTAGTTGCAGTGCAGTAGCGAGGATGACCCTTGGAGTTGATGAAGTTCTTGGCTCGCTTGGATTGATCCAAAAGCTTCTGAGGTGGCATTCCAAGAAGCTCCATCATACAAGCCAGTTGGTCTCCCTCATCTTCTCCAGGAAAAAGAGGATATCCAGTCAACAGTTCCACCAGAATACAACCAAAACTCCACATGTCTATGGGCATCCCATAGCGACTTCCCAGAATGACTTCTGGGGCCCTATAGAATCGAGACTGAATATATGTGTAGACTCTTTGGTGCTCAAAGCAGCTGGACCCAAAATCAATAACCTTGATGCCACTCCGCCCTTGCTGTTTTAGAAGTATATTTTCTGGCTTCAGGTCACAATGTATGATTTTGTTTTTATAAAGAGCCTCCAAACATTGTAATATAGAGTGGGCAAACTTGCGTACCAGCTGCACACTGAACCCTTGAAATTTATTTCTTTTGATCAGCTCATACAGGTTCATGCTCAGGAGCTCAAAGGTCATACATATGTGGTTCCGAAAGGTGAAACTTTCTAGCATGTGAATAACATTCATGCTGCCAGTTTTATCCTGTTTCTTGAGATGCTCCAAAATCCGAATTTCCTCTGCTGCTTGACGGTGAAACCTCTTCTCATTGCGAACCATCTTTAAGGCCAAATGCTGGTGGAGTTTATGATCATAAACTTTAGCTACTTGTCCAAAACTGCCCTTTCCAATTATTTTAAGTACTTCATATCGGTAAGCCAGATGGTCATGAGGCACATGAATGTATCCACCTTGGTCATCATCATATCCTCCGTTGTTGGGGCCACCGACTACTCCTTGCCTCTTTTTTGCATTTGGACCCACAAAGTAAATTTCAGAAAAGTTACATATTTCTTGCTGCTCGTAAGCAGATAACTGATGTTTATATTGCTTCACTGCTTGCTCTGGAGCCTGAGAGATAGCTTTGCGCACTTTTGATGAACTTCCACAAGATTTGGCTGTGCTTAAGCTGTCTATACTTTTATCTTTTGACAGGGAAGGAAGAGATCTTTCGGAACTACTGATTCCTGCAGACTGAAGAGTACTGCTCCTCTTATTGCCAGAGTCCTCAAATAGTTGCTCAACTTTGACCTGACTTCCAGTCAGAGGATGATCTTTCATAGTGAGTTTGTTGCTAGTAACCTATAGGGATGAAAAAAGCCAATCTTAATTTTTTTTTTAAATGGATAGAATAAGATTAAAATACCACATAAAACAAAATGCTTTGACTTCAGCATTAGGTTTGCATTTATTTTCACAATGCAGATGTATTTTAAATGTACTGCATAAATTATATTGTTATCTATTCTAATCTGAGTTATATGCACTGCCATACACGTGATTGTACACCAAATGCAATGAACTTTTTGAAAATGGAGTATGTATAAATATACTCTATCTTCTAGTTCAGAAAAGGCAAACTTTAAGCAGACTTGCACAAATGCCTATCCCCACTAGCATGCATCTAGTCAGCAGAAGGGCAGGTGGTGCAGCCCAGTATCGCTATGTTTAGTCTTGGAGGTGGGCGCGGCAAACATGACCCAATGACAGATGCAGCTTGCACCTGTTTGAATATGCAACCTAGCATGAATGTGTGCAGAGGGGGGAGAATATTACATGGACAAGTGTGCAGTGGGGAGACAAGGGATCTAGAGTAAGAGGGATAGGGTTGAGAAATCCATGATGGATGGGGTAAAAGGACGGGAAAAAAGGGACAACAGCAAGCAAGAGGAAGATGACAAAACAAGATAAAATAGGCTGTGTTTATGCTCAAATATGTACCCACAACTCCCATGGACTTTAAAGAGGGTCACATTACTGTGTCGGACTGCAAAAATGGATACAGTGTGTATCCCCACGAGTACCAGCTTCCATCAAGTTTCTTTCCTTTTTCCTCCCCGTCTAGTGTTCTAAAACACAACAGTTCTCCACTCACTGCTCTAAGCTAATTTGGGCATAAATATTTTCATCTACCAAGAGATGTTAATTTGTTGCAGACAGAACATTACAACTAGTAGGAAAATATTGCGGAATATATTTAAGACTTGTCATTTTTACAGGATTAAAATTAGCCAATGCTGCGCTCCCTGAAATTCCGTCCCTTCCTTTAAAGGCAATGCACTCATTCACGATTATTCCTCCTTTCATTTCCCCAGCATTCTACACTACAAAATCGCATGAGATACTATCCTATGCAATGCTGAAAAAGTCAGGACTAGTGCAGCAACATCTGTTTTCCATTCTGGCCTTTAATCTCAATAAAGATGTGAGACATGTGCCAAGCCCAGTCCCTGAAACTAAAATAGCTGCTTAGCAATCAAGCAAAAGTATAAATAAACCTGTAGCTCCAGAGCAATAACATCCAATTACTTTTTAGTTACATACAATCCTCCATCTCAACACAGTCAGTAAATAAGAGCAATGATTATGTTTGCCAAAAACAACTTCGCAAATATCCACCGTCCTCCGTCCTGGTTAAGAGTCAATTTGCTGGCTCTGCACTGAAATGTTAGTGTGCACTTCATGACAGGAGCCTGGAAAATGCAGACTTCCTCTAGGAGCCTGTCTCAGATCAGTGATGATTAGGCCTTTGGAATCTCCCTTTTATTCAGTGTTATGTCTGCCCAGAAATGTGGACAATACATTGTAAGAGACACACCTTTCCAGGAACTCACTGAAAACATACAATAAACACTTTTTTCTTTCAGCCTGTGGCTGAACTGCTGAGATAAGAGTGAGAGATACTATAAGATTCTGAATGACAGGCATAGAGAATGAAGGGCAAAGAGATCAAAATGGTAAATTTGCAAATGAACAGAGAATCCAGACTTGGAACAAGGTTCAGTTTTTGTTTTGGGGTTTTGTTTTCTTTTTGTTAAGATGTCTGAAAAACTGTTCTCCTACCTCCATAGCAGAAATCTTGTGTGTGACCATGTCTTTTTTACTTTGACTGCAATCAGAATTTGATTAAGCACATAGCCCTAGTCCTTGAAAAGTCTACCTGTACTACAAGAAAGGATATTCTTTGTACTAGAACTCTGTGTTATTTAAATTAACTCACCATGGAGGCAGGAAGGATTTTAAAGGGCCAGGACTGTATGTGCTATAGTGAACTTCACTAAATTTCATCTTCCATCAGGCAAGGCCTATTTATCTAGCTTCATGAGGTTCCTGCAAAGTTCCTCAGTCTTCTTTAGACTTTACAAATAACTGTGTGTCATTTGAAAGTTTTGCTGCCTCTCCCTTTTCTACATCATTAATCCTAAATAAATAGTCCTAGAGAAATGATTACGCAAGAGAATTAGAACTTCAGGTGAGGAATAAGCAGCAGGAACAGATGAATTACCCATAATAGTAAGGGAAGAAAAGCCATTGAAGGAGCACTTCTGACCATATCCTTTTAACAGAAGGCTTTCAGAGCTTTCACTTAAGATAGCAGCAGCTATTTAATGGTCCATTGCAGAATACTTATGTCAGGTGTTTGAAACACTTTATTGGAAAGGTCTTTAAGCCCGCTGAACTTGACTTGATTTTTAAAGGTGAAGTCAATTTGAGTACATGATATTATATATTTTACATACACACAAAACTGCTTAGAAAAAGTTCAGTATTTTGTTTCCAGCATGACCTTCATCGGACACGACTCCCACCAGGATGTAAAAGGAGGTTGGGCTGAAAAGCAAAACACTGAACTTTCTCTAAATTCAAAAAACATTTGTAAAAAGCAGCAAGATTGGTAGTTAACTCTTTAGTGGCATGTTGGGAACAGCTCAAAAATCAAAGCATTTCACAGAGCCTGACCCACTGTTACTCCCATCCCTGCATTACTCGGGATTCCTTCCTGCACTTGCCTGCATGCAGCTGCAGTTCCACTCACAAACTACTTGGCCAGTTGCTATGCATTTTTTGTTCTCTTTCGTCCCCTGCCCCCTTCCCAAAATTCATACCTGGAAAACAATTCAGGAATGAAGGTGTTAAGGCAGAGTTTCACCATTTAAAAAAGGCTAATGCACCCGTTAACTTACATTTAAATCTCACATCGATACACTGTCCTGCAGATATCTTATGTTCCTATCCTAGACAAGCTCATCAAGATGCCCTAGAAGATAAATAATCAACTTTGCTTTGTTGTCCTGTAACCTAGATCTGTTCACGAGACATCCTAGAATACAAATAGGGCCTTAGAGCACCACACACACTTCTGTTACAGTGCTGTACAATTAGGAACTAGTGCAACACTTTAAGAGCTAGAATTATCATACTAAATATGGTTTAACCATTCTCCAAATGATGATGTACCTCAAAGGGCACTAGCAAATAGTTTTGTCATAACATTTAGGATTCACAAAGAAAAAAGAGGGGGATAAAAAGGAATAAAAATCTAAAGAGAAATGCTTTTATGAATTCTTTGACTATGGTGATCCCTTGTAGGGCTAGAAACCCAAACTGCTGCATTGTGCCAGTACTTGAGAACCAGCAGGTGAAACTGACTAATTCAGTTTCACTGAAGCCAGCACTTGAATCATGTGCTAAAAAAAACAAAACTCTCCTCCCTCCGCCCCAAAAATAAACAGTAAAAATGGTGAAAAGCAAGATTTATTGATTTACTTGTTTATACTTTTTAGTTTTAAGATGCTACAATGATACTAATAAGGGTAAAGGATTTTTTTTTAAATAGTGAATATTATCCCCTTAATATAGACAAAGATAGTTAAAAATATACAGTATATACTTGTTCATTAGCCCGTTCGTTTATAAGCCGACCCCCCAAGATGGTTAGGTAAAAAGAGCAAAAACTGTATGACCCTTTCATAAGCTGACCCTATATTTCAGGGGTTGGCAAACTCTGGTTCCTGGCCCATTAGGGTAAGCCGCTAGCAGGCCTGGACATTTTGTTTACCTGGAGCATTCACAGGCATGGAGCCCCAGTTTGCTGTTCCCAGCCAATGGGAGCTGCGGGAAGTGGTGCGCCACTTCCAGCAGCTCCCATTGGCTGGGAACGGCAAACCGTGGACACTGGGAGCTGAGGGGCTCCATGCCTGCAGACGCTCCAGGTAAACAAAACAACAATGTATTAGATATTCAATTCAATGATTCCATAGAGTTTAAAATCATCAAATTTTGGTGTAGACCCGTTTATAAGCCGACCCCGGCTCTTTGATGCGTCACTTTTTTACCAAAAATATTCGGCTTATGAACAAGTAGATACGGTATATTGTTTTAATCACCACAAGTGGCAAGGTCTCATCCACAATGTTGTTCGTCCTCATTTACTGGCTGTCTGAGTTATCCTGAAGTCTTCTGACACTTCAGACTACCAATACTGCTGAGGAAATCAGACCTGCTGCATTTATAAGCCCTGCACAACTCACAAAACCCATCTGAGCTTAAAGTTGTGCTGCTATTTTACTACATGCTACTAGCTTCAACTTAGTGTATTAAAAAACAGTAGTATCTGATCAAAAGTTATAACTGCAGAATAATGGCTGTTAAAGGCCTGTCAGATATCTGTGCTGATTCAGTGCATCTCCATGGCAGCCTCAATTTGCAGGGTTCCTCTGGAAAGAGGTACAAAGGGAGCAATTGTACCCCTCTGTACCCAGGTGGGTGAATAAAGCTCTAAGACTTCAAAAAGATAAAAGAGATGTATTTAAGTCAACAAAGCCTGATAAAATTCACCATAGAGTACTTAAGAAATTAGCTGAAGCAATCTCTAAACCATTAACGATTATATTCAAGAACATGGAGGACAGGTGAGGTCCTAGTGGGCCGGAGAAGGGCAAACATAGCACCTATCTTCACAAAGGGGAATTATACACCAGTCAGCCTAGCTTCGATACTCAGAAAGATACTGGAACAAATGATTAAACAAGCAATTTGTTCAAACCTGGAGAATAAGGTGATAAGTAACAGCCAATATGGATTTGTCAGGAACAAAACATGCCAAGCCAAACTAATTTCCTTCTCTGACAGGATAATGGGCATAGTGGATGCATGAGAAGCAGTAGATATATCTTGTCTTTAATAGGGCTTTTGACACAGTCCCATACAACATTCTCACAAGCAAATGGGGAAAATATGGTAGATGAAATTACTATAAAGTGGATGAAGACCACCAAGCTGGGAGGGGTTGCAAGCAGTTTGGAGGATGGGATTAGAATTCAAAATGACCTTGGCAAATTGGAGAATTGGTCTGAAATCAACACATCAACCTTCTTCCAATGGCTTCATTTTATAAGCCAGGGATTGCACAGTTTACTTTTGTCACAAATTAGCTGTCAGCAGCCAAGAAACTTGATAAACAACACAAATGATACTCCACTGAAGATTTCTCAGAAAAACTTCATTATGAATAAGAAGGAAATGGCTAGCCAGTTTGCTAAATGTTTTGCCCTTCCAAGTGTCTCAACTGTTACTTTTACAAACTAAATTAAAACTGTGTGTCTCTGAAAGCAGAAGCATTTAGTTTACTGTATATAACTAAGTCTGAGAGGAGAGACAGTTGAGAGTACCTGGAGTTTTCAATACGAATGCAATTTTATATGTCAAAACAGAAAATGTTGAAGAAAGGAAGACAAGTATCTCTTCAATCTAAATGTTTTCTCATAAAAACTGTTTAAAATTTTCATTTCCACATGCATTCCTAATTCCTGCTGAGCAGGACACTACTAAATATTTGTTTTGTTTGGCACAAAGACAAGGCTTGGCATTTTACAAACAAATAAGAAAACAAAGTCCTTGTCCCAAAGAACTGACAGTCTAAACAGACAAAATACAGATGAAGGAGAAAAGAAGAGATGTGACACACAAGCAAAGTGATCAAGAGGCTATTTTTGGCATGTGTCTTGTTAGTTCCAGAGTTGATTTTAATACAGTTGTGAAAATGTCTGGATATGTTGTAAGTTAGATATAGCACTTTATATCTCAAGAAAACTGCACAACCATTAATTAATTATTTAAAGACAGCACCACAGCTCTTTTGTATCAATATGCTCACACATATCTCTCTCTCACATATAGGCACCTCAGTGTTTGAGGACGAAGGCCAGTCAAATTAACTGCTGGCATAAATGATCTCAACTCTATTGACTTCTCAATATGTTCATTTTTAAATTTGTCCCTTCATCTATCCCATTTCTTCAATCTGGCTTTTAGCCAAAAATTTTCAAGGAGCACAAGATTTCAGACAAAATTCAACTGGAGCCTAAATATATTTCCAGACCATTTTACAGTATGACTGTTACATGGCTGAATATGACTGCTACAGACCAGCTGAGACAATTAAAGAAAGGATCACATGATTCAAAACTTCTGTTTAAGAAATGTACAACTTCTACAAAAATACAAATTGAACATCAGAAGTCTGTGAAGTGCTATTTTGCTATCAATTAAAGTGCCAGATAATGTCAGTGCTCCCACGCAAAAAAATTTTTTTTTTTGTATTACGTTGGGTGTATCTACAAATCACACATTTGTAAAAACAGAACTTCTGGTTGTGTTCTACTATTATGGCCCTGTTATTTCCAGTACTTTCATGTGAGACAACAAATATAAGTGTGTACTAGTTAAAGTAGACTACAGCTATGGATTAATAAAGTACCATATATATTAGTATGTGATGTGCTATGGCATGAGGTCCCAAACAGGGTGTAAACTAACTTTCTTGATCAAAGCATGGACAATGGATTATAAATTAGCTTATTCAGAGTTACTTAGCCAGTTCATGCAGAACACCATATCATGTTACCTTTTTTATTGCTAGTTAGTAAAAGCAAGTGTGTTAATGAGCTGTGACAAGGTTATAATATCTAGCTTTATTAATTTACTGTGTGACTACTTAGTTTATATCATTATTTCATTACCAACCAGATCACCAATGCAAGAAGCCAGAAAATTACTCACATTTGATCTCCCAAGTGAAGGAAGTCCAGAAGGGCTGTGTTCTTCATTTGTAGGATCTGGGTACCTAATTTGATCTATTCTCATGTAGGAATCATACAATCCATCTCCAAACCTGGCTGAACACGTCAAATATAGAAGCCAGTTAGTCACAACCGTGTGCACTAATACAGGAAAAGACATTTGTTTCAGCTCCTAAAAATTATCTCATTTGTAATCATTCTTCAAAGTTTTTGCTAAGACAGTCAGCTTTTGCTAATTTATCGGATAAAATACAGCAAGAGCATCATAGTTAAATATTAATGAGCTACTCAACAGTTTTATTTCTTTTAATGATCCTAAGCATTTAGAAAGCACTGTGCAAACTTAGTTTCTGATTCTTTTTTTAAAAAAAAACTAGGAGCTTCTCTTAAATTAGACTCATCTGTCATTTTTTTGCAGTGCAAAAGCATCCTTAAGAACCTTTAACCAATATCCTATTTTAAGGAAAAAGAAGGATAATCCTGAACTATCTGTATTTAGCGTGGCAATGGAAAATGAGCAGGCATTTAAATACTGGATAAGACTATCCTTTAAAGTAGGTTCTCTGTAAATATGACGTGGAGGAACCAAAGTCAATAAATTCGTTGCTACTAACAATGGTTGGCAAAATAATTTTTTTTTAATGATTTCTACAGTAATAGACAAAGCTCTGTGACTGTGCTTAAAATAAAATTGGCTAAAGCAATTAACATTAAAACTCCAGAGTTTTGATCACCATCTGCACTCAAAATGTCAGTGTGAGTTAGACAAAAAGTACTATTTATATCGAAATAATATGACATCCTCTCTCATTGCTATAAATACTGTCCTTCGTATACCAAAACAATGCTCTAAAAAGTTTAACTAATTGGTTTTTCATTTTAGTTCTGCTGACAAAATGCAAAACTCAGTCACTTCTTCCAAACAAGCAATCACAACCAGGAAGTTGGAAATTATATTTTAAAATTCCCAGTTACAAGTTCAAGGCAAAATGTGATCAACTAATTTCATCTGCCACCAGAAAACATGCTTATTCACTGCTGTGTATGAAGAATGAACTACATTTTTTTCACAACAATGTATCACTAGCTTCTTAGTAAACTTGTGTGTTATTAGGAATGTTTTGTACAATATACTGATATACGTGAAGGGTGCTCAATAGTAAATTAATAGTACATTGTATAAGTCACAGAACTGAATGCTAGAACACATATAGTTACAGAATTATATAATGCAGAAACTGTACACAATAGAAGAGTAGGAAAATTGTGTTCCTTTTCTTAATCTCTGGAAACTCTCTAGCTTTCTTTAAACTTGGATTCTGAAAAACTACTCTACTCTGTGGTTACTTTAAAGGATAACAAACACTTCAAGCATTAATTGAAAACACAGTCAAAGATATAAAATAAGTTGCCAAAGGAAAAATGCCAGGAATGTTCCTTTCCTTGTGCAGAGTCTGCCCAAGTCCTGATGAAATCTGGCCTGTTTTGAGTCATTTAATCCACATTTGTTTTCCCGTAAAACACCAGGGATACTTTAGATGGATGCTATACAGATAAAATGTGTTGTTTTAACAACCAATTGCTGTTTTTGCTGTATTCATCCTCCCCTTTTGGTTTAGCAGAGTGAAATGTACAAAGACATAACAGCTACTAAGTTACCAAAAAAAAAAAAAAAAAAAAAAAAGTAGGCACTGAAAGAAACTCAGCATCATTTGAAATCACCACAGAAGGAAGTTTTCTATTGTTGGCACATTTCACGCCTTGTCCAGAACTGGATTGTTCGTTACAATCTGTTCTCCAGTGCTTTGTCCAGTCCAGTTTCAAAAGTCTCATGTGATGATTAGGCTTCCACTGGTTTCCTGGGACGACGAGTAACTCGCACCCTTAGGAGATGTTTCCCAAGACAGGCTACGTTTCCTGTCATTTGATTTCACTCCCCACCACACTTTAGGTTCTCCCTAGTTATTCCCCCACAGGCGCCTAAGGGATCTCACCCCAGTACTCCCCTGCCCTTGATTATACTCCCAGCTGCCCCCCCCCCCCATTGAACCAACCACTTTTCCTCCTTATTTTTATCCCTCTAATCACTCATCCCCCACCCCGGGGGGTTTCCATCTGTCTGAGCGGATGGGAAGCCCGCCTCCCGCTGCATTCCGGACCCTCCCAGCTGCTCCCACCCCCGGGATCAAACCCCCTCGCCCCGTGGTGTTGGGATCCCTCTACTCACTCCCCCCAGCTCCAGGGGTTCCCCGCCCCATGCTGCCAACGGCCCCCGGGTCCCCCCGGCAGGCAGCCCCCCCCCAAGTGCATCACCCCCTCGAGGGGTGCACCGCTGGGGGGGGGACCCAGGCCGACCCCCCCCACCAAGTGCATCACCCCCCCGAGGGGTGCACCGCTGGGGGGGGGACCCAGGCCGACCCCCCGCCCAAGTGCATCGGCCACCGGCTCCCCCGGGCACATGGAGGCGGGGGACCGTGTCTCCTGCCCAGGCCCCGACACGTGGGACCGAGCCGGGGCTGCGCTGGGGCGGCCCCGAGACCCCGGCCGGGATGCGGGGCCCCGCGTTACCTGCGGTGAGGAGCCCCTCCGGCTTCCTGCTCAGCAGCATCACGGCGGGGGGGCAGCGGGCCCCATCCCCCTCCAGGCCCCGCACACCGCTCCCCCGGGCTGGGGCGGCTCCTTCGCTCGGGCCCAGGCCGCGGCAGCGGCGGGACCCCGGGCGGTTGCTAGGGAAACGTCCTCCCCGCCCGGCCCGGCAGCGGCCGCGTCTGCGCGCTGAGGGACAGGAGGGGGAGGGGGAGGGGAAAGGGGCGGGCGGGGGGGGAGGAGAGAGGGGGAAAGAGAAGAGAAAATAACCCAGGCTGAACTGGGAGGCGGAGGAAGGAGAATGGGGCTGGGGCTGGCTGGGCCTGGGAACCCTGGAAGTTCCCTGCCTGGCCTTGCCCTGTGCGGTCCCTTCTCTGAGACCCCCCTGGGGAGCAGCGTTTCTGCTTCCCCGCGCAGAGCCCCCAGTCTAGCACACGGCGGGATCTAGGTGTGCCCCAAACTGGGGGGATGTGTGCCCCCTGCTCCCCACTCTGGTGTGCAGGACCCAGAGCTGCTGCCTGGGACTCACTCAGTGCAAACAAACGTTAACCCCCCCCCCCACACACACACAAATTAAAAGCTACTGGGGATTGGAAATGGAAAGTTTTCCATTCCATTGACATAACTGCAGCTAAGCAAACACGTTTCTTGCTGGGAGAGGCCCGCCCCTGGAGTGTAATGGGGTTTGGCTTTTCTTTTTCCCCTTTCCATTCTTCCTTTACGTATAGCCCCTTTTAACTGCAAAGCCCTGTTCATTTCCTCCTGTGATGTCTACTGTAGGTTGATATCCTGAGATAACAGGGAGAGTGGAAGAGCGGTTAGGGTGCTAAATAGAAACCTGGTTCATTTTTTAGCTCCACCACAGACTCCCTGTGTGACCTTGGATAAGTCTACACTAGAAGTGCTTTTCCGGAATAGCTATATCAGTATATTATACTGTCAAAGTGCTCCTAGTGTGGACACAGATCATACAGGCAAAACTGCACTTTTGCCAGTGGAGTTTATTCTGGCAACCACTCCTCACCAATGAAATAAACTATACCAGCAAAAGCACAGTTTTGCCAGGGTTTTTTGCCAACACAGCTATTTTGGTCAAGGATCACACTTCCACGCACCCTGACCAACAGAAGTTTGTAGTGTGGACTCGGCCTTAGCCTCTCTGCAACTGTCTTCACTAGCCAAAAAGGCATGTTGTTACTAGGGGATAATTAACACAGGTTAGCTACTCCAAGGGAAAAATAGAGCAGAGACAAGGCACTGTGGTTTTACCGTGAGGTGAACTAAGATAAGTCAGCACTATACTGCTGGCTAGGGCTACCTTGTGACAAAAACTACTAGTACCTTGTCTCCATTTAGGATTTTACAGTGAGATAACTAGTATGTATTAGGGATCTCGTACAAAACAAACAAACAAAACTCTTGTGTCAGTGATGACGTCTGACTCCCATCAGTAAAATGAGTCTAATAGCTAGCACTTCCCTACCACACTGGAGTGTTATAAGGATAAATGCATTCAAGATTGCAAAGCACTCAGCTACTACAATAATGGTGGTCAGATAAGTACCTTAGAGAGAGAGAGAGAAACTTTTTAGGGTAGAGAATATGGCCTTGGCTACACTTGGGAATTCACAGCGCTGCCGCGGCGCCAGCGCTGCGAGAGAGCTCTCACAGCGCTGTATGTACTCCACCTCTCCGAGGGGAATAGCTTGCAGCGCTGCGAGCGAGCGTGCAGCACTGCAGGCGCTGATTACACTGGCGCTTTACAGCGCTGTACTCGCTGCGCTCGGGGGGGGGGTGTTTTCACACCCCTGAGCGCAGCAAGTTGCAGCGCTGTACAGCGCCAGTGTAGCCAAGGCCTATGTCTACTCTATGTAAAGTGTTACAGTCCTCTAATGTGTGTTTGAACAAAGGAGACGTTAATGAGCGTCCTGTGTCCCTAACTCTTGGTTTGCTGATGAGGGGAGATATGAATAGTGTTGCAAAGGAAAACCTCGAGGAGTCCTTGTGGCACCTTAGAGACCAACACATTTATTTGGGCATAAGCTTTCGTGGAAGTGGGTTTTAGCCCACAAAAGCTTATACCCAAATAAATGTGTTAGTCTCTAAGGTGTCACAAGGACTCCTCCTTGTTTTTGCTGATACAGACTAACACAGCTACCACTCTGAAAGGAAAACCTGAGAGCCATCTGGTGTTGGCAACAGGCATCACAACCCTGCCCATATCCCCAGAGGCACGTCATGCATGTGAGAGAAATTGGAGACTCTATTCACACTGAACTGTGATTTATTTTTATAAATCATTATTCAAAACCTTTTAACGTGTACGAGGGCTTCCGTTCTTTTTCCACTGACTGTTCCTGTGTGTGAAGCCATGTGGAATCCTCTATTCACTAACAAAACACGAAAAACGAAAGCTTATGCCCAAATAAGTCTGTTAGTCTTTAAGGTGCCACTGGACTCCTTGTTGTTTTAACAAAACACAGTTAAAGGGAGGGTAGGTTGCCTGGCAATGCCTCATCATACCCTCCCAGAATGTAGAAGTGGCCACCTGACACGCACATGCCTGAGCATCAGCAAATACACAAAACAAAACACAAACATTAGAAAACTAGGAAATGCTCAGTTAAGATCATGCTTCCCATAGCACTCCCACCATTGCCTTAACCCTCTTCCCTTTTGATCACCACAATAAAGAGTACGTCAGGGAGATCTCAGTGCCTTCCCTTCCCTAAAGTGGGTTGAGTTCAGCAGTTAGCCCAACACTGCCCTTTTTCATCCTAAGTCAGAGGAAATTTTACATCTTTAAAACCCTCTGATTCCTGCTCTCAAAAGTGCCTCAGGAAAATGGCGTTGCTATACCACTGTGAGGTCTGCCAGTGCCCTACCAGCATCTTCTATCAATGGTGCCACAGAGAACACAATGAAGGTACATAGAAGTGTATAATAGGAATGCTGACATGGAGCATTGTGGGCACTAAGAAACTATCAGTTTTTGTTAGGATGGATAAGGTATTGTTATATTCCCTGTGACTAAGGCCATCTCCCCAGTAGCAGAGTTAAGGTTGTGTCGCGTGTATGGTCTAGAAGAGGAGGTTACCTTAACTGTGCATTTCCTTGTTCTCTAGGTGGGTCTGTGAGGAGTGCATCTGCTAGAAGGAGGCAGAAAGGGGGAAGGGACCCCAGAGTCCCTACCCCACCTCAGTGTAGGGTGAAGGGGCTCTGCGTGCTCCTCTGTAGCATAGGAGACTTGCAGAGGTGTGGAATCAGAAAATCCCATGAAGATTAAAATAGCTTGAAAGAATAGCTCCGAGGGGTGTGAACCATCCCATTCATTGCCGTGGGTGTTCTCATCCCGCATCTCAACTATGGCATGCACTGAACCTGCTTATTCTCAGTTCCCCTGGTCTCAGCGTGGTGTGACTGTGGCATGTTTGGCGCATGCTCCAAGAGAGGCCCCAGGTTCAGTGCTGTGTTCCCGTACTGTGCAACAACTTTGCCTGTTTTCAGTTCACCCAACACTTAAGCCTGCTAGTTTCTGTGATGTCCCTTCAATGGGACATCTCACAATGAGTAAAGTGAAGCAGGTGGATAAGTGTTTGCATGATCAGGTCTGTATACTGTCACAATTTTGGAATCCTCTGCAAGTTTATTATGTCTGAACAATATACAGAAGTCTGAATTGAAAACACTGATTTTTTTTTAAAGTTGCAAATGTTTCTCCTAAAATACAGTAAAGGATCTGAAAAATAGTCAGCCTGCACAAAATATAGTATCACCCAAACACAAAAGCACCCATTTCAAAGTGGGAATTATTTGAAGAAAACCAGAAAATTGCTCACACATTTCTTTCCTACATGCATCAGACATTCCCCATTATTCCTTGCATAGAGCAAAATGTGTGACTAATTTTCTGGTTTCCTTCAAATAGTTTCTGTCTTGAAATTGCTGCATCTTCTTGCTTGGTATGCCTGGGGCTCTGCTTTTCTTGTTTTCTAGCCAGATATCAGAAGAGAGACGTAATTTAGGCCTTGGTCCTGCAATTGGATCCATTCAGACAGGCCAGCGCAGCATCTTATTGATGTAAATCCTCATTGACACAGGTCCACTTGCATGCATCCTATTGCAGGATTGAGGCCTTCTTAGCGCTTCTTACAGTAGCTGAATTGACTGCTCTGAAGTCCTCTGTTTATCAGAGTAAGGGGACAGCCATGACAGCAGCAGGCTATGCTTCCCACATGCTCATGCTGTGCTCGCTCTGCCTGTTCTGTTTTATTAGAAATGTTTATACAGATTTAAATGAAAATATTTTTGGTTTGATTTAAACATCCCCCTGCAGTGTTTGCAAGACAATCA